GAAGCATCACACATAGACATTAGGCCAACCAAAAAAACCAAAGAGTACATTATGCAAATAGGTTTGACAGCCCATTCGAGGAGGCATCAATTTCGCGCAAGAACGAAGTTGATGTGAAAAAAAAGTTGCCTAAAAACTGTACTGGGCAGCTGACCGTACAGAAAAAGAGCAGAGCTATCGCAAACTTGACCTAAGAGTCTGGCAAACAGTGGGCCTCAACCGCACCAGACTGTCTGTCAGAGTACTTTAATGGTAGACTTGGGTGTGAACTGAGGACACAGGCATAGACCACAACTGCTTGGAGACCATCCTTCGAGTGAAGAACACTGACATCTTCTCGCTGATAGCCCAGGCCATCCACAAAGGACGGCTACGATGGTTTGGACACGTTCTACGTCATCAATCTCACGGGGTCTATTTTACTGCCCTCGACCCGAAACCGTTATCCAATTGAAGGTGTCGAAAAGGGGGTCAGCTGAAAACCTCGCTCAACTCAGTCCGTCAGGTCATGGAAGTGGTTCTTGGACCTTCGGTCTCCGGCACTGGCAAAGAGAATGGATTCAACTGTCCAGGTCTGCTGCCACAGATCGTTACGTGTGGAGAAGTGCCATCCGGGACAGCATCGAGGCCGGCTAGAACAGACCTGATCACAGGCCTAACAAGTACAAGCACAAGGCTATGTATTTTTAGAAAAATATAGTTTCAAACTAATAGGATCGCCTAGATTATAGTGGTTTAATAGGCACCATACACTGGCTCGCTTAGTCGAGTAACACGCCGACGTTGGACACGGATGTCTACCAACTCGCAGCGATGGTTGTAACAAAGCTTGCGTTAATGCAATAAAATGCACATGATAAGAAACTTGTTTACGTGGGGCGGACTATATATACATGTTTCCTACCCGCGAAGATACAAATTTCGCCCAGAATTGAAGTATGGTTAGAGATAGAAATATAGTTATAATCAAGGTCTACTTTATGATACGAGTAGCATAGCGCCACCTATCGACGTAGAATATCGCTCCTGGTTCCATTGCCTGCCGA